TATCCCAAGTCAACAGAAACAAGGCAGGGAATCCAAGTTCACATACACCGCCTAAGAGAGGCGGGGACCCTGGTGCCGTGTCGCTCCCCGTGGAACACACCTCCACTCCCTGTGCTAAAACCAGGGACGAGGGGCTACCGACCACTTCAAGACCTGAGGGAAGTGAACTGCAGGGTTGAGACAGTTCACTGTACTGTCCCCAACCCCTATGCTTTCCTAAGCACCCCACCTTCAAGGAGACAGGTGTACACAGTTCTGGACTTAAAAGATGCTTTTTTCTCTATCCCGCTGGACCTGAAATCCCAACCCATCTTTGTGTTCAAATGGACTGATACTGGGTTTAGTGGTCAGCTCACATGGACAAGATTACCCCAAGGATTCAAAAACTCCTACACTTTTTGATGAGGCTTTAAGTAAGGACCTGAAAGAATTCTGGGCAGGAAACCCCCAAGTGTCACTCCTACAGTAAGTTGATGACCTCCATCTGGCCGCAGAGTCTGAGCAGGCCTGTTATGAGAGGACTAAAAAATCTATTAAGGACCCTCCAGGATTTGGGTTACAGAGCCAGAAAAGAAGGCTCAGCTATGCATGCCAGAGGTGACTTACCTGGGTTATGTCCCACACCAAGGCAAGCGCTTGCTCTCCGGTTGTCGAGTGAATGTCATCCTTCAGATACCTGCTCCGGACACTAGGTGGAAGTTGCATGAGTTTTGGGGGACTGTTGGATACTGCGGGCTCAGGGTCCCATAGTTTGCTGAGCTAGCCAGACCCCTCTACAAGGCCATGAGGGGTAAGGAGGGCCTGCTGTCATGGACAGAGGTAGAAAAAGGAGCTTTCCAGACGTTGAAACAAGTCCTGGTCTTTGCCTCAACCCTAGCTCTCCCAGACATGACAAAACCCTTCATATTGTTTGTGGGTGAGTGAAAGGGCATAACAGAAGGAGTCCTGACTCAGAGGCTGGGGCCGTGGAATAGACCTGTGGCTCATCTCTCAAAACGGCTTGACCCAGTAGCAGCCGGATGGCACACCTGCCTAAGAGCAGTAGCAGCCGCGGCCCTCCTGGTAAAAGAGGCTGATAAGCTCGCCTTCAGGCAGGACCTGTTCATTGTGGCTCCACATGCTGTTGAGTCACTGCTCCGGGCCCACCCAACCAGTGGATGACAAATGCCCGCATCATCCAGTACCAGGCTCTGCTTCTTGACCATCCTTGCACCCATTTCCAGAAACAGCAGATCCTGAATACTGCCCCAACGTTACCTGGCTCTGCAGAAGGTGAACTCCTCCATGACTACCTGGAAGTAGTGGAGCATGTCCAGAGCTTGCAACCAGACCTGACTGATGTCCCATGGACTGACCCATACTTGACCCTCCTCTGTGATCGTAGCAGTTTCAAGGATATGGAACGGTATGCAGGGGCTGCGGTTGTTACAGTGGAAAGAACTGTCTGGGCAGAACCTCTCTGGTTACCCCGCAGAAGGCTGAATTGGTAGCATTGACCTGAGCCTTGGAGGAGGGAAAGGGACGGACTGTCAGCATTTATACCAACAGCAGGAACACTTTTGCTATCACCAATGTACAAGGGGCCATATATGGTGAAAGGGGCTTTCCAACGGGAATAGGAAAGACATCAGAAACAAGCCCCAGATCTTAGAACTCTTGAAGGCAATTTGGCTGCCCAAGAGAGTGGCCATAATGCACTGTCCAGGACATCAAAAAGGAAATTCGCCTGGGGCAAGGGGAAACCGTGCAGCTGACCTGGCAGCCCGAGAAGTGGCCCTAGAACAAATCTCAGAACTGATCATGACCTTTCCGCCACCCATGTTGTGAGAAAAGCCACACTATAGTAGAAAGAACTTAGAGTTTGCTTGCTGAAGCAGATACACAGTACTACGCATTTGAGTAAAAATAAAATGATACACTTGGTCCAGAAAGACTTCTGGGTCCCTGGGGTGAATAGGATGACCTGTGAAATAGGGGAAGGTTGCATTGTCTGTCAACAAGTGAATCCCTCCTGACAGGTTACACAGGTACAGGGTAAAAGGGAGAGAGGAGAATCCCCGGGGTGACACTGGGAGGTGGATTTCACTGAGATAAAACCTGGACAGTATGGGTACAAATATTTGTTAGTTTTTGTGGATGCCTTCTCTGGGTGGGTAGAGGATTTCCCAAGAAAGACAGAAATGGCCCAAGTGACTGTGAAAAAGCTTCTACATGAAATTGTCCACTGGTTTGGGTCGCCTCTGTCTGTGGGGTCTGATACAGACTCTCTTTTGCGGCACGGCTGACCCAAGGGGTTGCTGGTGCCCTAAAGGTCCCATGGAAACCATTTGCTTACAGGCCCCAAAGTTCGGGCCAGTTTGAGAAGATGAATTGGAACCTGAAAGAGACTCTTACTAAGTTAACTTTGGAAACTAGTGAAGGGTGGGTACAGGCCCTCCCTTGGCACCCCATATATTTTAAAGATCACCCCTTTTGAGATTCTGTTCAGTTGCCCCTCTCCTATCCTTCTTTGAGTAGACTTGGAAAAAGCTACCGAAACCCCTAATTAAGAACTTGTGCAGTCCTTACAGGCCCTACAGGGAGTGCAAGACCAAATCCACTCCCTGGGGAAGGCTGCCACACAGGGAAAGGATCTGCCAGAACCACACTCGTTCCAGCCAGGAGAGCTCGTGTGGGTAAAACGGCATAAGACTGAGGTGCTAGGGGCCTGGTGGAGAGGACCTTACTCAGCCGCCTTGACAGCCCCCACAGCTGTGAAGGTTGCTGGTATAAGACCATGGATCCACCACCCACAGTTGAAGTTGGTGAGAGAGGGGGAGGAAAACCCCACCACTTGGGCATTGGTGAAGCCGCCGCCCAAGACCTGCTACAGATAAGACTCAAAAGGAAAACCAAAAACTCAGATGTAATGTTTTAGTATTGTTATTGGAGGCCCTACCTGCTCCCAGCCGTGCCACCCCGCACCCCCAATGGCCCTGAAATTACTCATGGAATTTAATCAATACAGCCTCGGGAAAGAATATTGCTAGTTTTACAGGAAGCCACCCCCCAGTTTTTTTATTTGATCTCTTTGAACTATGATCAGAACTATCCACTCATAAGTATTCTAAGAATAAGGATGACAAGGCTTTTCAAAAAGCTTTCCCAAGGTGGGATTTTTATGTATGCCCAGCAAATGGGGGGTCCAACTGCCAGGGAAATGGACACTATCATTGTGCAAGTTGGGAATGTGAAACCATAGGCTCCTGGACAGACAATGACTTCTATATTTCATTGTCTCAAGACCGCCTCCATGACATTGATACAGCTGGAAGGATGAACCCGCTAAATTTGAAAGTTAAAAATTGGGACCCTTATACTGTGGGAAAGGATTGGGAGATGGAAGGACTTGGGGGCTCCGGGTATATATAAGGGCCCAGGACCCAGGAACCAAACTCACTATCCAAAGAATTCAAATACCCCAGCTTCCAAACCCTGTGGACCCCCTCCAGGAGGCACCTTGTTAAATCTGGTCCCCCTTCCAATTAAGGCAGCACTGCAACTCCCCACCCCAATGCCAAAGCCCCACACTGAGCCATCAGGTAGGAAAAATGGCCTAACAGAACCTCCTGGGCCTGGCCTGTTAACAGCCACAGCAGAACCCCCTGACTGGACACTTGAGAAGCTAGAGTCACTCTACAAATTTGTAAATCAATCTACTGTCAATTTGACAAAAGATTGCTCATTCTGCCTAAATTCCAAACCTCCTTATTATGTTGGTCTAGCTGCAAATGAGACCCTGGGAGAGGAAGAAGAAAACATTTACCATTTTAGTCTAGATGAGATCAGAGACAGAGGTCTCTGCACATGGGGTTTGCCACCCTCACTTACCTTTGGAGATGTGCAAGGCACAGGGTTTTGCATCCATTCCCCTTCATACTCAGCCCCAAACCCCTGTCTTCAGCAGCTCTGTGAAACTACTCTAAATTACACTTCCCCAGCCTCTAGTGAGAAAGTTAACTTCCTGTTTAGCCCATCTGCCACGTGGTTTGCTTGTACCAGTGGGTTAACCTCTTGATTGTCTGAGAAATTAATAACAGCTGGTGTAGGGGAACCAAGGGAACCCAAGCTCTGTATTTTGGTTCACATCCTCCCTCAAATTTAACCCTATAATGGGGAGGCTGGTAGGGAACACATGGGCTTAGTATATTCCCTTAGAACAAAAAGAGCAGCCCCCATCCTAGTGCCCCTCCCAGTTGGGTTGAGAATCGCAGGATCAATAACAGTAGGGACCGCTTCCTTTGTTGTAAATGATGCCAATTTCAAAGTGCTCAGTAAACAAGTAGACAAAGATATAGGGATGTTAGAGAGCTCGGTCCATCAGTTGAGGTCGGCTGGAGACTCCCTAGCAGAGGCGGTCTTGCAGAATAGGAGAGGGCTGGGCCTCTCTCTTCATGAAACAAAGAGGGCTTTGCATGGCATTAGGTGAAACATGCTGCTTCTATGCAAACGAATCAGGCATTCTTTGGGATACCCTGGCTATGGTGAGGCAGAATCTCAAAGAAAGAGAGGTCCAGAAGGGAACAACAGCAAACTGGTATCAAGGCCTGTCCCCATGGGCCCCCTGCCTTACGACCCTCCTGACAGCCCTTGCAGGTCCACTCGCTCTCCTTCTGCTTATAGTCACTGTGGGGCCTGTGTTGTGAATTGCCTCATGAGTTATATTCAGAAGAGACAAGCAGTCGTAAAGCTACTTTTCATTATAGAACGTTACCAAGCCTTAAAAACTGAAGTCAATGGCTTGACTCTGTTACAAGGACGGGGGGAATGTGAGGGGCTGAAGCAGTTTCAAAAATAGAAATAGGACACAAAGCTCTCTGTAAAGTTAGACCCAGACCCTAGTCACGTGCCAACTTTTGAGAAACTAAAGGAAAAGATATAAATCCCATGAGAAACAGGATGTTCAACTAACCCCAGGCTATTTTTGCTTCTGTACATCGCTTTGTTAGAGACCAGCAGTATCACACGCTTCCTGCAGCAGGTGGGCAAAGCAGGATACTTAAGCCCCCCGAGCATTAAACAAGGAATATAGCTTGCAGAATTTAGGGGAAGGTGGAAAAGTTGCAAAAACTAAGCAGGATGCGTTAAAAATGCTTGAAAGGATGTTGTGACAGGGGCTCGGGCTGCACTTAGAGAGCTTGCTCCCTGGCAGTCGCCGGCCGGCTGAAGTCAAGTCTCCCTTTTTATAACGTACTTTGCTGTGAGGCCCTGTTTCCTTCCTCCCGCTCCCGCAGGCCCGAGCTGAGACCCATCACAAGGCCTCCTTGTATACTGGGTTCTAGCGTATCACCAACCATCACAGTCTCCAGGCTGCACCCCAAGAAGGTAACAGCAGTAATAAAATATGGAAGGGTCTGGTTTCTCACCTTTCTACTATTGACCTACAGCAATAGCATCAAAATAGGACTGGCAGGCACAAGCCTCAGTCTCCTCCCTCTGGCTTTGTCTGTCTCCATTCATTAAGAGCAGGTGGACCTCCTTTCGAAGTTCAGTGAGCATGGCTTTGATGTCTTCTGCTAGTGTCATATGCTGTAAACGAGTAGATTTCCACAGGAAATAACATTCCTCAGCCAACTTCCTGTTGGCTGCCCCACCCACTGTTTCCTGGATGGCTTCTTCCCAGTGAGAAGTCCTGAGCTCAGTAATGCATGTATGGGGAGAAGGAAAATGTTTCTTGCTGAGTTTAACTTCAACTTTGTGACAGATGATCTCGGCCTCATCTCTATGATGGCATTTCAAATGTAGCAACTTTATCCCCTAAATACAGGAAAGTAACTCTGTTAAGGGACTTTGTATTTTTCATAGTCATGTGTTGGCCTCCTCCCCATCTCCGACCCGCAGATATAGGAGGAGCCGCGATGAGATATGGAAGACCTGAGTGGGCCAGCCAGGGGACTCGAGGCACGCCAGCTTGAGAGTGGTGCTAGAAAGGCACCTCTCATGTTTATTGATCAGGTATCAGATTGTTGAGTGGGTGAACAAGTTTCTAGACACAGTGACTAACATGCTTTACTCCAGGATTGTATTTGCCTCCAGGTCGCTGGGGAAAGACATCCCTGGAGCCAGACAATGAGGGGGTAGAGATAACAAGAAACAGATCTCAGTTAGATTTAGTGAGCGGCGGCCTGCACCACAGATTCCAAGGAAGACAATCAATTCCCATAGAAACAGAATCATCTATGGATGGCAACCTACGGTCATGTCCTGAGAAGCTCTGGTCCTATTACCCCAGAGCACAGAGATTTGAGCTCAACCCATCTTAAGGCATCTCTATTACTAACCCACTTTTGGTGGGAGTTGGTATTACTTTTAAAGAACATCAGAGTGAAGATCTCCCATTCTCTCTAGACAAACTCATTCCTATTTCTGAACAAATCCTATACTAATAAGATTCTTTACATAGAGCTAATAAAAATTCCTCATTTGACAGTTTAGCTCATGACCTTTCATTCTGGTCCTGAAGAAATTAAAATAACACTTGTGTTTATTAGACTCTTCCCAGAAATAATGCTAGTTCATTTAACATTTTCTTATCTATATGCATTTTATGTTTTGAATGCCTAAATTGACCACCATACAAAACAGGGCCCAATCCATACTTTTAGAAATGTGTGTTTATTTAGTTCTGATGGAGTCATGCATGTCCTGTAATGTTAGCAGTGTAATGAGCTAGGGCTTCTTCCAAACCTGATTTTCCATATAAAAACTTCCGATAATGCTCCCTCTTTATTACTGGTGCTGAAACCCACATCAGAATTAAGTGCTCTCTCTAATGTTACCATATCTCTTTTTCTCAGCCTTTATTGTATTAGGCCATCTGTTTTGGCCTGTCTTCTCACATTTACTATGATCCTAAGACACAAAGCATTATACCTGAAGCCCACACACATTGTTTCTAGCCTTTCCACAACTCTGAAGGGGGTTCACCTTCTGAGATGAGGAAATGGAAGTTCAGAACTGGTAGGGCACTTGCCAGGGTTGGGGCTGAACCCCATGCCTGCCTCCGTCCTAAATGCACACGCTTTCCTTTGCACACTGACAGCAGGCACCGGGACTGGGTCCCCGGTTCTCAGCACGGTGTTTGCAGGGGAAAAGGAGCAGGCCGGCAGCCAGCACCATAGCTGGGCTGAGTGCGTAACAGTCACGTGAGCACTCAGGAAATGAAGGGAAGGAGCAAGGCCCTCCGCAGGGCTGCTGGGTCGGCTGCGGCAAGGGAAGTGACATTGAAGCCAGGAGTTACCCGGCCCTCAAGGTGCAGGCGGGAGGAGGACTGAATCACTCTGGACAGAAGGCTCAGCATGGACAGAGCTGGGAGTTGCGTGAACTGGGAGAGGCTAAAGGCTAAGCTCCGTGAACTGGAAGGCAGGTGATGGAGTCAGCTCAGAGACGCAGCTGGAGCGGCGGTCAGGAACCAGTCTGCAAATGGCCCAGGGCCCAAGGCTGCAGCAGATGCTACCAAACCCCCTTGGCCCGCAGCAGCCCCGACAGACCAAGGGCTCCATTGTCTAAGTGGTTGGGCTTCTCTACCTGCGGCCTTTCTCGGCCACAGGGCACCCACACATGTAGACTGGGGCCTAGTGTTGCTCTGGGTGCAGGCCTCCAACCAAGGAGGGGCAGAAATTGTGGATAAATTTCACAGCTTTCTTGCCCCATGTGGAGACACACGTAGCAAGTTCTGCACACTGTCTGCAAGTTCCCGGCCACTCACACCAAGAAACTGCTCCTTTATGTGACTGGTCTTCCAGTCCTTCCTTCCCTGTCTTACCACCTCCCCCACAGGCCCTGCTGGGATCACCTCCCAAATGAGCTGCCTGTACTTGAAGTCTCCACATGGGGCAATCGGGGGGCCAGTCAATCATTCCAAGACAGTTTGGGTGTTTGAGGGTAAGTGCAATAGACAAAACTGAGATGAAGACTGACTGTCTGCCGTGGAGGCAAAGAGGCCAAATGAGCTCAAACGTGCTGCCCTGAACTACACGGGGTACGTGGTGTGCTGCTCACCATAGACACTCAATCCACCTGCTGAAAAGGGCAACGATAAATGGACACTTTCTCCCTTCTGAGTATGAGAATAGAGCTAAGGAATAGTTTTCAGGCTACTTGTGCACATTAGGAAATGCTTACGGGAAATCTTAGACCAGGAAAAATATACTGGTTCTCAGAATGGTAGGTGAAGTCAGAACACTGAAATCTTTGCCTCAAAGAGTTAGCATTCAGTTAACAAATCAAGATTATAACCCTCCATGGTTACAGCAGCATCTTTATTAATGATGTCAACTGAGTTACTCTCGAGGGTCACTATAAAGGTCCAGGACCCTGCTGTAACCCAGTAAGAGGACATAGGAGTCGTGGACTCCGCAGTGCGGGAGCTTGAACGAGAGGCGGCTCACAGCCAGTGAACAGCCGCCGATAAACATTTCCTGTTCCTCCACCTGGCAATTCCTCAAGCACATCGCGGGCTGCTCACAAAGGCTTAGCTCACCTTCACGGGGAGATTCTGGTAAAGGCAGAGCACACTGCCCCCCAGTTTCAGAACCATTACATCCCCCGAATTAACTTTCCTACATTTGTCACACAGCAGCTATTTACAGATTCATCTGGATAAAAATACTATTTTAATAATAATAACCCATGAAAAAATGTTAATCTCTCATGTACATATTAATATAATTTTGAAAAGAAACAACACCTAAGTTGAATCAATACTAACTGGTATTAGTACAAACTCTCCTGATGCCCACAGGGAGCGAATGGGAGTTTTGATTGAATTTCGGGTCGATGGAAAGGGTCTCTAACTAGGACATGTGGTGACATTCTGCACAGGGGGAAGACAGAATTGAAAAAGAATTTTGAGTAAGACAAGCTGACCACGCACCTACATGCCTGAAAAAAAGGGGTCCTAAGAGAGAGAGGGGTTTGTACCAATTTGTAGACTTCAAGTCAAATTTCCTTTACTTCAAAACTCTAAGGCTTCTTAGAGGGACTGCTCTAGATGGGAGCACTCCTAAAAAGACCACAGAACAAAACAGCCAACACATGAAGAATGGAGGAGGAGGAATAAGAAGGGAGAGAAATAAAGAATTATCAAACAGTGTTGATAAAAGCTCAATAAGTGAGTTAAGTTAGACAGTAAGATAGTGAAGAAGCTAACCTTGAACCTTTGGTAACCACAAACTTAATGCCTACAATGGCAACAAGAACATATCTCTCAATAATCACCCTAAATGTAAATGGACTGAATGCACCAATCAAAAGACACAGAGTAATAGAATGAATAAAAAAGCAAGACCCATCTATATGCTACTTACAAGAAACTCACCTCAAATCCGAAGACATGCATAGACTAAAAGTCAAGGGATGGAAAAACATATTTCATGAAACAACAGAGAGACGAAAGCAGGTGTTGCAGTACTAGTATCAGACAAAATAGACTTCAAAAAAAGAAAGTAACAGAGATAAAGAAGGACACTACATAATGATAAAGGGCTCAGTCCAACAAGAGGATATAACCATTATAAATATATATGCACCCAACACAGGAGCACCATCATATGTGAAACAAGTACTAACAGAATTAAAGGAGGAAACAGAATGCAATGCATTCATTCTAGGAGACTTCAACACACCACTCACCCCAAAGGACAGATCCACCAGACAGAAAATAAGTAAGGACACAGAGGCAATGAACAACACACTAGAACAGATGGACCTAAAAGACATCTATAGAACTCCACCTCTAAAAGCAACAGCATACACATTCTTCTCAACAGCACATGGAACATTCTCCAGAATAGACCACATACAGGGCCACAAAAAGAGCCCCAGAAAATTAAAAAAGATTGAAATCCTACCAAACAACTTTTCAGACCACAAAGGTATAAAACTAGAAATAAACTGTACAAAGAAAGCAAAAAGGCTCACAAACACATGGAGGCTTAACAACACGCTCCTAAATAATCAATGGACCAATGACCAAATTAAAATGGAGATCCAGCAATAGATGGAAACAAATGACAACAACAACACAAAGCCCCAACTTCTGTGGGACGCAGCGAAAGCAGTCTTAAGAGGAAAGTATATAGCAATCCAGGCATATTTAAAGAAGGAAGAACAATCCCACATGAATAGCCTAATATCATGATTATCAAAATTGGAAAAAGAAGAACAAATGAGGCCTAAGGTCAGCAGAAGGAGGGATATAATAAAGATCAGAGAAGAAATAAATAAAATTGCGAATAATAAAACAATAGAAAAAATCAATTAAACCAAGAGCTGGTTCTTCGAGAGAATAAACAAAATAGATAAGCCTCTAGCCAGTCTTATTAAGAGAAAAAAAGAATCAACACACATCAACAGAATCAGAAACCAGAAAGGAAAAAATCACAACGGACGCCACAGAAATACAAAGAATTATTAGGGAATACTATGAAAACCTATATGCTAACAAGCTGGAAAACCTAGGAGAAATGGACAACTGCCTAGAAAAATACAACCTTCCAAGACTGACCCAGAAAGAAACAGAAAATCTAAACAGACCAACTACCAGAAACGAAATTGAAGTGGTAATAAAAAAACTACCAAAGAACAAAGCCCCCCGGCCAGATGGATATACTTTGGAATTTTATCACACATACAGAGAAGACATAATACCCATTCTCCTTAAAGTTTTCCAAAAAATAGAAGAGGAGGGAATACTCCAAAATCATTCTGTGAAGCCAACATCACCCTAATACCAAAACCAGGCAAAGACCACACCGAAAAAGAAAACTACCTACCAATATCCCTGATGAACATAGATGCAAAAATACTCAACAAAATATTAGCAAACTGAATTCAAAATTACATCAAAAGGATTGTACACCATGAGCAAGTGGGATTCATCCCAGGGATGCAAGGATGGTACAACATTCGAAAGTCCATCAACATCATCCACCACATCAACAAAAAGAAAGACAAAAAACACATGATTATCTCCACAGATGTTGAAAAAGCATTTGACAAAGTTCAACATCCATTCATGTTAAAAACTCTCAGCAAAATGGGAATAGAGGGCAAGTACCTCAACATAATAAAGGCCATTTATGATAAACCCACAGCCAACATTATATTGAACAGTGAGAAGCTGAAAGCTTTTCCTCTGAGATCGGGAACTAGACAGGCATGCCCACTCTCCCCACTGTTATTTAACATGGTACTGGAGGTCCTAGCCACAGCAATCAGACAAAACCAAAAAATGCAAGGAATCCAGACTGGTAAAGATGAAGTTAAACTGTCACTATTTGCAGATGACATGATACTGTACATTAAAAACCCTAAAGACTCCACTCCAAAACTACTAGAACTGATATCGGAATTCAGCAAAGTTGCAGGATACAAAATTAACACACAGAAATCTGTGACTTTCCTATACACTAACAATGAATTAATAGAAAGAGAAATCAGGAAAACAATTCCATTCACAATTGCATCAAAAAGAATAAAATACCTAGGAATAAATCTAACCAAGGAAGTGAAAGACCTATATCCTGAAAACTATTAGACACCCTTAAGAGAAATTAAAGAGGTCACTAACAAATGCAAATTCGTCCCATGCTCCTGGCTAGGAAGAATAAATATTGTCAAAATGGCCATCCTGCCCAAAACAATATACAGATTCAATGCAATCCCTATCAATGTACCAACAGCATTCTTCAATGAACTGGAACAAATAGTTCAAAAATTCATATGGAAACACCAAAGACCCTGAATAGCCAAAGCAATCATGAGAAAGAAGAATAAAGTGGGGGGGGGTCTCACTCCCCGACTTCAAGCTCTGCTACAAAGCCACATTATTCAAGACAATTTGGTACTGGCACAAGAACAGAGCTACACACCAATGGAACAGAATAGAGACTCCAAACATTAACCCAAACATATACGGTCAATTAATATATGATAAAGGAGCCATGGACCTACAATGGGAAATGACAGTCTCTTCATCAGATGGTGCTGGCAAAACTGGACAGCTACATGTAAGAGAATGAAACTGGATCACTGTCTAACCCCATACACAAAAGTAAATTCAAAATGGATAAAAAACTTGAATGTAAGTCATGAAACCATAAAACTCTTAGGAAAAAAACGTAGGCCAAAATCTCTTAGCCGTAAGCATGAGTGACCTCTTCTTGAACATATCTCCCCGGGCAAGGGAAACAAAAGCAAAAATGAACAAGTGGGACTATATCAAGCTGAAAAGCATCTGTACAGCAAAGGACACCATCATCAGAACAAAAAGACATCCTACAGTATGGGAGAATATATTTATAAATGACATATCCAACACTCGGTTGACATCCAAAATATATAAAGAGCTCACACACCTCAACAAACAAAAAGCAAATAATCCAATTAAAAAATGGGCAGAGGATCTGAATAGGCAGTTCTCTAAAGAAGAAATTCAGATGGCCAACAGACACATGAAAAGATGCTCCACATCGCTTGTCATCAGAGAAGTGCAAATTAAAAACACAGTGAGATATCACCTCATACCAGTAAGGATGGCTACCATACAAAAAACAAACAACACAAATGTTGGTGAGGTTGTGGAGAAAGGGGAACCCTCTTACACTGCTGGTGGGAATGTAAATTAGTTCAACCATTGTGGAAAGCAGTTTGGAGGTTCCTCAGAATGCTCAAAATAGAAATACATTTGACCCAGGAATTCCACTTCTAAGAATTTACTCTAAGAATGCAGCAGCGCAGTTTGAAAAAGACAGATGCACCCCTATGTTTATTGCAGCACTATTTACAATATCCAAGAAATGGAAACAATCTAAATGTCCATCAGTAGATGAATGGATAAAGAAGATGTGGTACATATACACAACAGAATATTATTCAACCATAAGAAGAAAACAAATCCTACCATTTGCAACAAAATGAATGGAGCTAGAGGGTATTATGCTCAGTGAAATAAGCCAGGCAGAGAAAGGCAAGTACCAAATGATTTCACTCTTATGTGGAATATAAGAACAAAGAAAAACTGAAGGAACAAAACAGCAGCAGAATCACAGAACCCAAGAGTGGACTAACAGTTACCAAAGGGAAAGGGACTGGGGATGATGGGTGGGAAGGGAGGGATAAGGGTGGGGAAAAAGAAAGGGGGCATTACAATTAGCATGTATAGTGTGGTGGGGGTTATGGGGTGGGCTGTGCAACACAGAGAAGACAGGTGGTGATTATACAGCATCTTACTATGCTGATGAACAGTGACTGTAGTGGGGTGGGGGGAGGGGACTTGGTGAGGAGAAGAGCCTGGTAAACATAGTGTTCTTCATGTAATTTTAGCTTAATTATACTAAAAATTAAAAGAAAAAAGAAAAAAGAAAATATGAAACAAAAAACAAAAAACAAAAAATCTCTAAGGCTTTATCTTAACATATGCCAAAAAAGAAACTGTTCTTCTACCTCTTAT